ATTTTATATTAGTTAAACATTAGATAATATTTTGTTAACTCTTCGAAATTCTTAATAAAATAAATATACGTCGAATCTTTTGTTAATCTTTCCAAGCGTTAAGTAGAAGTTAAGTAGATACCTAGATATTAAGTAGAAGTTTATTATTTTACTAAGAGGAATATTAATTAAAATCAATAATACATTGGAGTCATTTGTGGTTAAACGGTGGTGCTTAGAATAGATTTATAGTTCTATTAAAATATATTCTAATATTTTTTAATACTTATTACATTTATTTTTAGCTACTATAAAGAGCAATCAATGTTCTGAAACTTACTAATCTCTACATATATGAAAGTAAAAGTCCGTCTGGATGTATGTTCGCTTACAATTCGAAAACGAAAGCACCGATTTGAATCAAGTTTTTTTTTCACAATTTGCAAATTTTCAAGGTGTGGTTTTTTTACAGTCACCTCTTTGCTTTACGTGGTGGACGACACTATTGAAAATACGAAATTTCATTGATGAAAAGCATTATCATAAACTAAAACGTACGTTGTCATGGAAACAGCATGTTTTACCAGATATTTAGAAAATAGTAGCAGACGAAACATCTAGAAAAAATTAAATATCCTTAAAGCTCGCTAAACTCATTGTTTATCTGGCAGAAGTAAAACATGCAAGAAGCAAATACAGTTCGAAATAAATGATCGAAAATTGAAAAAAGATTACATTTCACCGTCAGTGGTAATGTGAAAACATAAGCATACTTATTCTTATTCGTCCAAATGGCATTTCAATTTCCAGGCTTTTAAATTTATCAAATTCCAATACTGAAACAATTTTACGAACCTCAAAATTTAAACTTCTTAAATTTTATATTATTATTCCTTAAAGAAAAATATAATAAACTTCATAAAGTATTATATAAAGACTGATTTAAACTTTTTAACGTAAATGCTCATTTACTTGATTATGATGTTTTTTAGTTCCTGAACAGCGCCATTAAGCTAAATTATTTTTGGAGCTTATTTTTTGCTTTAAATTGTATTGTTTACTGTTTCAAGTTAGTGTGTTCTTTTAACTTAAAGTTATAACAGTTAAAGTTCGTTTATACCCTGCTTCCAGTAGCAGGTTTCAGTTAGCTTTAGGCAAAGAAAGCTTAACTTTAAGCCGAGCAAACTTAAATCCTTTCTATTAACCCACATCTGAGCTAGCTAACTAAAGCTTTTTTGGTTGTGAGGATATATAAGATTGAGTTAGAGATTACAGGCTTTGTTGTTTGTTTGAGCTCAAAAACATCACGTTTGCTCCTTTTTTATTTAGCAATCGACTCTTTGCATTAAAATAAAAAAAGATTGACACTGCAAATTTTAAAATCATGTTTCATTTGCTCATTAACTTTTTTATTTCTTTTTTGCCCCCAAAAAACCAGTTTTAAGATCCCTTATAGAGTATTAAAAATATACAAATAACACAAGCATTCATACAAAATTAGTACAGCAAGATCAAGAAAAAAATATTTCGTTTTATTTTAAGTTGCATACTAACCCGGTACAGGAATAGCAATTAATTTTTGCTTTGCTATTCTGTGATCCGTGTTTTAAATAAATGTAGTTTTGTAAAAACCAGATTTATTCGTAAGAGTCACTATGATTATTAGCATATTTCCTTTTTCTTAGCGTTAGCATGCATTGTATGAAACACTTTAATAACTTCGATACCAAGGGCACCATATAGACATTTAAGAGACAAAAATGAAATCGACTCTAACTTGAGCAATATGACTTTACTATACCTATAGATTGATTTGATTTTTGACTGTACGATTTTAAATCTCGAATAACTAGAAATTCTACTTCTTTAAAAAGGTGGGAAAGCTGGTCACCGGAAGTATATTGAATAAAATTAGTATTGAATGAAATTAAACTATTATTCCAATTGTTTGACAAAGCAGGAGCAAATAAGACTTTAATATTGCCTTGTACTTGAAAAAACTGATATATAAGCAATGCAAAACTTCAAAAAGACTGAAGCATTACAAAAAATCTGTGGTAGTGAAATTTCATGTGTTACACGAAAAAAACATGTCGATAGATATTTTGTAAGTCAAAGTCATACGGAAAATTTTCGTGCATAACAGATTTTATCAATAGGGTAGCGTACTGTAAAAGTCTGTACAGTTTACACGAAATTATCTGACGTTGATTGTATTTGCAGTGACAAAGCGTATCGTCGAACGTGACGGTATAGTGAAGTGATGTCGAGGCGATAGAGAGTCGTGTATTCATTGAGAGTGGTAATGTGGAGAGTTCTGGAATAAATGTTAGCTAGTTGGGATCCCACCAGGTAATGTTGGGCCCGAAACTACAGTTTCTGACAACAAGAAAAAATAGTGTACAGGTTTAACAAATATCTTTTAAGACAAAGTTCTCTTAAGGAAGTTTTTTGTACAGCCAAATAAATTAAGTTCGAAAATGTTATATATGTTGCATGTCACCCATCGCTATGATTTGCTTCTTTTCTTGAAATTCTTATATCCATCAAGGAACAGCCAACCAAATTTTATTTTCGCACTTACGACTACCAACGTTAAACTCCGTAGTCTTGTAATTTTGGACACAATACAGAAGACAAGGTAAATCCTGGATCAAACATTGGGAAAACTAGCCTTCGTCGAGAACGTCTTGATTGAACTAAACTGCATTGGTGCTACATAGTGAGGAAAACAACGAAAATCTCCCATGGTTAGTTTGGCGATAAAGGAACTTTTACCCATGATTCATCTACCCTTGAGGATATTTTGCATAGGAACAGTGATATTGATGTAGAAGCAGAATTTGGTTCTATCAGACATCGCTGACATTTGAACTTGGGTCATCTCATTGGAAGCAGACGCTGTAACCTACGAACTCTCAAGACACACTGATATTTATTTCTATAAAATAAATTACAGTAGAATTACAGAAGCTTGTTGGGAACGTGAAATGTCTCACTATATAGCATCTAGAGGTACTCTTTTCAGTGGAAAAAAAAAATCAGAATTTCCCTTTTGTTGTGCTTATATATCGTCAAAACAGAAAGAAAATCTGTAAATAAATTCTGTATTAATGCCTTCTATTATCAATCTGTGTCATTGATCTGTTTATGCGTCACATATATCTGTTTTCTGTAAATATTTGTCCTTCGACTAATGAAGATTTTGTAGTAAATTTTAGTAGTTTTAAAAACCGGAAATTTTACTATGAAAGTTAACATACATATTTTACTTTTTACAGAACATGAGATTGGTTGATGCGATATTATTAGTATTTTTTCACAAAATTAGAGAAAACGCGATTTAAATGGATATATTTATGAAACTTCTTAACCAATATATTACTCCATCGGTTATGGAATTATTTTAGTAATCTAATCTACTAAAAATGTTTTTAATAAAATACTTCAAAAATTCTGTAACTGATAATAGATACTTCTCAAAATATTAAAACCAATTGGACCATTAAATACCATCTTTTTATGATAATTATTTACATAATTTTTTTATACATCTTTATTTAGTTGAATAAGAAATTACAATTAACCACTCTTAGATTGTAGCACAGTGGTCTTTTGTTACGGTGTGAAACAAATCTTAGTTTCTTAGAATGTTTACAAAAAGATTCTTGCGATTTTTCTAACAACGGTAATAGGTAAACATTGAGCCGTTATGCCTCAAGGGCCATAGCGCGTTCGCCTTCCAATCAGGTGAACTGGGTTCGAATCCCATTGATGGCTGGTCGCTACGAATTCCGCATCCGGCTTGTACCGACCACAGTGCTGACGTGAAATATCCTCAGTGGTAGATGGATCATGGGTTAAAGTCCCCTTGCCTTCAGGCTAACCGTGGGTGATTCTTCCGGTCTTCCTCTCCATGTAACGCAAAGGCGGGTTAGTTTCTTCACAAAGTCCTCCACGAAGGCATATTTATCCCAATACTTGATCTAGGAGTTCCCTTGTCTTCTGGATTGGGTTCAAAATTATAAAGTCACGGAGGAGGCTTAATGTAATATCTAATCAATGTTAATTGCAATTTGTTATATTTTATAACATGCCTTTCTTAAATACCTGTTTCAATTATTTAATAATAGGAATCTGAGTCATAATACTTTTACATTTACACTTATATACTTTTAATAAGTGTTTCATATTGGGTACCATTAAGTTTATAATGTCCAGTTTTATGAATTCAAATAAATTAAAATAGTTTATAGATAAATCATTATGAAGTTTTGCGGTCTTTATTTTTTAAAGCCAATATAATCTATAGCTAAGCTAATATAATCAACCGAAATATTTATAAATTGTGCAAATATGTGCTTCATATTTCTTGCTACTTTAATAAGATGTTAAATTGAATCATATTTCTGTTCACGCTAAACCATAGTATTTGCACTGTAAAAAACGGATTAAATAAGGTTAAAAAGTATATCAATACTTTTTATCGAGAAATTCATTTTTATCAGAACGTTTCATAGAAAAAAAAATCCGATGTGCCATAATTATTGCAATAATTACCGTAAAATCACTGAATCATTCTAATTAAATAAGTATTACTGTAAAATTTATGGTAAAAATGGAATTTGTCATAAAATGGATATTACGGATGATGCACTTTAAAGTGCTGGTACTTTGTACCGTAATTTAATCCAGAATTTTTACAGTGTGTAATACAGGTCAATTAGAAGCATAATATTATTCAACTCAACACAACAATAAATTAGCAACAAGTTTGAACGACATTTTAGTTGAACACGTTTCTAACAATGTATTTTAAATTATAAAATAGTTGTCTTTACTAAATCCCATTAAATTATATATTTCTCTTTCTTTATAACATCACTTATATTTATAATATATTATTTGAATGAATTCTAGTATAAATCTAGTATAAACTCATAACACTTCTATTCACTTTAATTTTTAAAAAAAAACGACTTCTAAAAACATACATTATTTAAACAAAGATACGTACTCACCAGTAACAATTGTGTACCAATTAGGGTAAGAATTAGATGGGAAAATAGGTGTCACATACGGAGCTCGTACTCCATTTTCAGCTAATTTCCTGAATCCGGGAAGTCCGGCAATATCCTCGTCAGGATAATCCCACCGACATCCATCCACTAGTATCAAAAGTAATTTATTAGCCTCCCCTCCAGAGGTTTTATCACTGCTATAATAAGCGAACGATGACAATCCTTCGAAAAATGCCGATAACAAGAAAAGGAGAACAGCGAAAGTCATCGCATGTGTTCCCGTTTTCGGGAGAAACCGGAAAATGCGCGTCAGTTAGTTTGTGCTCCTGAACGTCGTCTGGCTGGCCTAGTTTACCGCACTCTGGAGTCTTCGGCTTTTTGGAGGGAAACAAAGAGATTGCTCACAATGCAGTCCTTGATTTGGATTGGGAAAGAGCGGGAAGACTTAATAAAGAAGAGTTTGTCGGAAATTGTGAAAAGGAAGCGGTAAAGATTTTTTTCACGTAAAGGACAATTTTTGGTTGAGCTTTTATTCGATATTCTTTTTTATTTAGTAGAAAAAAAGAAGAAGCTAGCTGATTAAGATAAGGTTATGAATTCAGACTAAGGTGCATCATGAATAACCTTAAAAAAATTAAAATTTCAATTTGATTAAAAATTTGTAATCACATATTTATTACATATTCACATATTACATATTTACATATTACATATTACATATTTACATATTACATATTTACATATTACATATTACATATTTACATATTTACATATTGCATATTTACATATTACATATTACATATTTACATATTACATATTTACATGTTTATAAGTTTTAAAAATAATTTTCAAGCACAAATATGAATAAAGTTTTATTTTTTAAGTTCAAAACGGTAAAATAGCAGCAAAAATATAACATGTAACGTAACGAATGTAATGCAAGCGAAATGTAACATTAAGATTTTCCAGAATATACAAGAAAACAAAATACATTAGTTTATCGGAATTATGAAGTTTTAATGATTTACAGCCAGTTTTTCACCACTTAAATAAGACTACTGTATTTGTGAAATACTCACGAACATGACAATTATCGGTGATTACCAGTGATGGAGAATCTGGGGAGAAAAAGTGAAATGAGTTATCGATGCGAGTGTAGATTTAAAAGCAATCAGAAAAAGGAGTTCGTAGGTGAATCCGGATGTTGGCGAGCAACAGCGAGCAGGTATGGATATCCCCTAATTATGTAAATAAATAATTAATAAAAATAAATAATTAATTTTCAATGGAGACTGATGCCCGTTAAGTCTGTCGATTTACAAAGTCCTCCATGCTCCCATAACAAATCATACCTCTGGGGATACTGATCCTGGAGTTTCCTTGTCTTCTGTATTGGTTCAAAATTGCAAGGCTACGGAGTTGAACATTAGTAGTCCTAAACACAAAATTGGGTCAGCTGCTCAACAACGGTTAAGAAAGAATATATANTATATATATTCGTCCACCAATGAGGTTAACCGGGTTCGTATCCCAGCGATGGCTGGCTGATACGAATTCCGCAACTGGCTTGCACCGACCACAGTTCTGACTTAAAATATCCTCTGTGGTAGGTGATCACAGATTAGAGTCTCCTTGTTGTCAGACTAACCATGAGAGCTTTTCGGTGCATTCATCTCCACGTAACGCAAATGTGGGTTACTTCCATGAAAAAGTCCTCCACGAAGGCAAATTTCTCCCAATACATAATCCAGTAGTTTCCTTGTCTTCTAGATTGTGTTCAAAATCACAAGGCTACGGAGTTGAACATTGATAGTCGTCAACCCAAAAAATTGAGTTGGCTGTTCAACGGCAGTTAAAAAATAAAATGAAATATAATACAATTCTTGATCCAGGAGTTCCTTTATCTTTTGAATTGGGTTCAAACTTACAAGGTTACGGAGTTGAGCATTAGTAATCGTAAGCCCAAAAAATTAGGCCAACTGTTCAACGACAGTTATAAAATAAAATATATTACTATAAATTATTGAAATAAGTAATTATATTGCATTCTATTTTAAATTTCCTCACTTAATTCTTTAACTGACATTTAAACGAATTTCAAAGTCAGAAAAATGTTGATCTTTTCAAGTACCTTCAGTCTTAGTTTAAAAAAAGCGACATTAATAAAATTAGAAAAATATTAATACCTGTACAATCAATAAATATCTTATTAATAAACATTATCAATACAATTATTATCATTGGCACTTGAAATTTAGAGTATTATAATTTGGTTACTGCTCCACAGATTTATTATTGTAATTAGCTTTAGTAGAATTAAATTCGTTTTTCAGATATGTTTAGATTTTAAATTATCATTATCATTTTTAGGTCTAAATATATTATTAGTATTTCTTGATTTAACATTATCATTAAAATTAGTAATTTTAAATTTAGTATAATCAATGATCTTTCCATATGTAGCATTTCCGTTAGCATTTATAGATTAAATTTTTTTTTTCAGTTTGATTGAACAGAAAAATCCTATTCACAAAAATAATTCTCTTTTTCAAAAAGAATTTCTCAGTTGAAAGTTTCTTTACTCTGCTTAGTACATAAGTTTAGCCTAAATCTTTTCTGCATGTTTAATACTTTGAATTTAGATAATTTTATGCATTAAATTTGCATTTTCTATTTTGATATTTATGGAATGTATCTTATAATATAACTTAGATATTTATTTTACTACATTCAAATAAGTGAAGAGAATGCATTTATTATAACCTGAGAGAAATCTTGTCACACAACTTTCAAATCCTAAATTTTGTAACTTCATTACTTAAGTAATAGAAAATGCATACTTTTATAAGTCTTTTCTGTCAAGAAAATCTTCCCTTTACTTAATTGATGATGTTGGATAAAACAAGATCGGCAGGTAATACATCAAACTGTCTAACATAGTTTTGTAAAATTTAAAGACTGAAGACTTGTCATTAAAAATTATGACATTAGTACAGAAATATGAGTTTCAGTTGGTGTAAACTGAGTATTAGATAAATGTAAATTATTTAACAACTTAATATAAAATTGTAATACATCATTCAGTTTAATCAGTTAGGCAATAGGTAAATATAAATAGTTATTTAAAAAATATGGATACATTTTTTTAAAAATATGCTTACAATGCTAGTTTTTTAGGGAACTTTAGCTTTAAAAAATAAGAAAAGTCAAACTACATATAAAAATTACATAAAACAATAATAAATGCGTTGATAATAAATGTACAGTTCTAATTTCAAATAACTTTCATATGAATGATTTGATTTTTACTCTCTAAGCAGCACACTTAAAGTAACTGGATTAAAAACTTAATCGCTTCAAAAATATACAAATTGGAAATACAAGCGACATGCTTCAGGCGCTCAAAAACAGGCAACCATTTTCAAGATTTGCCAGACTTGAATGAGAAGAAACAAAAATGATAGAAAATTGAAACGTTTTTGAACGCTTGAAGGAAGCTGACTATTATTTACAATTTGTATATTTTTGATGCAAATGAAGTTTTTAATCCAGTTACTTTAAGTGTGCTGCTTGGAGAGTAAAAATCAGATCATTCAATTGAAAGTTATTTTTTTTAGAACTGTACATTTATTATCAACGCATTTATTATTGTTTTGCGTAATTTTTATATGTAGATAGACTTTCCTTACTTTTTAAAGCTAAAGTTCCTTTAAGAAAACTAACATTATAAACATACTTACCGCTTTAGTTTTTTGAGATTATCTATTTAGCAAACTAAATATTTTAAATAATATGCTTCTTTTTTTAAATTAATATATGCAGACTATATTTTAAGTAAGAAATCATTTACAAAAATGTATTCTTCCTAATAAACATATATGATGGATTCAGAATTTCGTTGCTCAAAACGTAAAAAATAGATGAAATTTAAAAGCATAGACTTAATAGTTTAATGAATAGTGGTTGAAAGATTATACAAATTTTAATAAACATTAATTAATTTCATAGAAATAATGAATATTTTTAATGAATAATTTGCCATGTTAATGAATAATTTTTTGCATATAATTAACAAATTTTTTTTTAAAGATAGTTGCATGAACAAATATTTTCAGTTACTATTTGCATATTTTCAATATTATTATTTTATTTAAAAAAAAGATTATTTATTTTTTTTTACCACAATTACAGCGGACGTATTTTTGAATAATATGTTTTAAACTTTAAACTATAACTAAGACGAACTCTTCCAACTGTTTCGTAAAATTTTTGAACCGGATTTACTCCACTAACATTCTTTAAATTTAGGATTTATACACTAAAATATAATTATATAGGATAGTCTGAAACTTACTTTAAAATTCGAAAGTGCTTTGATCATCTGTTCTATTTTGAGCTCTAAATGAGTATTTTCAAAAACAACTTTATTTTTATACATTAGTGATCCCGGAAATTAAAGTAATTTTTTTTACACCAAAATTTAAACATATAAATTTTTAACAAGTTTTAATTTTTTATCAAGGATGTTATCACAATCAAGTTTAATAACCGTTACCCATTAAGTATCTGAACTTTCAATACAAGGTCAATAAGAATTGCTTTGTGTTAGAGTAAAATATTTAAACATGGCATTTCAAATAACGTAATTTTTTTTTAATATTTTGACACCAAGTAATGTATTAATCATATGTGATCATAATGTATTAATCATATATCAGGGTTGTATGATGGGTGAGGGAACATCTCCCTGTCCAATGCACTATTTTTTTCAGGCATGGTTTTCCTGATGGAGACGAGCTAGAAAAATCAAATTACCGGATTTTAACTTAGCAAACCGCTATCGACATTTACGAACGCTAAATGCATTTGAATAACTCGTGAGAAATTTAAAAAGCATACAATGCTGCTCAGAGAATCAGTTTTTGGCCTTAATTGACATTTCTAGAAAAATGTAATTCTGATAATAAAACTAAAATATATGTTATTTAAGCCATTTATTTTGTCATTTTTCCTTTCGTTTAGTTTACCGGAAATTTTGAATTTCAAAGTTCTTGTTTTTATTGCCAAGCACACGGAAAAAAAACCAAAAAGTAAATTTAACCGTTTTTTTTGCCTTGTTTTAAAAGGCATGATAAAATTACCAAATTTGACCACATTTATTATCAAACAGTACGGTAATAAAATCATATTTTATTATTAATTTTATCAAAAGTCATTATCAAAGAAATTCGGTACAAATTACTCTGCTTTTACCTATTTTATAGAGTCAAAAACACGGTAAA